CGGGGCCGGGGGCTCGCCTGCTGTCTGCCGGCCCGTGCACACGGGAGCCGGTCTCTGGGCCGCTCGGCCCGCCCCGTGTCCTCTGCCCTGGTGACCCCTGGCCACCCTCGTCGGGAGCCGTGGCGCCTTTGGAGACTTGGAACGGGGGTGAGGGGAGCGCTTCCACCGCGCTCAGGGGAACTCGCCCCGCGGGACCCCTCCTCCTTTCACGCTTGGAGCAAGAGAGTCTGAGGGAGGAACGTCTTCAAGAGAAAAAAATGGGAGGGGTCTGCGAGAGCCCGTGCCCGGGGTCTGCTCTACACCCCCGCCTACGTGGGACTCTTGGTCTCAGTCTCCCTTGGACAGGGCCCAGCACAGGGTCCAGGGTGACCTGCAAGGCGCAGACAGATGTGGAGTTACATAAGGGAAGACGGGGAGCCAGCGGACCCCGCCGCGAGGGGGGCGCACCCACCCAGGACTCAGGCGGGGCCCCAGGTTTGAGGGGGAGCGGCCAGAGGCTGGGAACCAGCTACGGGTCCCCCTGGCGGACAGCGCGGTGGGGTGGTCACCGCTGCAGGGACGGACGAGGTCACTGCGCTCAGGGCGCTGCCCAGGCAGCCGAGGAGGCTGCGTTAGCGCCTGCGGGTGGGGATGGGGGAGGAGAGGCAGAGGGAGGGGGCGCCCCTCCCCCTAGACCGTTCAGATAGACAGGGTCAAGGACAGATTCGGCTGGAGACACTCAGCGAGACAGACAGACATGCCCACGCGCAGACACACAGACACCCACAGACCAGGGAAACAGCCACCCAGCGTCAGGCTGGGGCCTCGTGAGTGGCAGTTAGACACACACACATCAGACTGACAGCAAGGAACAGTGCCGGAGGGAGAGCGAAGCAGGGACTCTACTCTCTTGTCAGCAGTGCACATCTGTGGGAGCCTCAGAGAGGACAGAAATCCACGTGTCTGAGCCTAGGTGTGGAGGCGGTGAGGCTGGCGGGGAGAGGCTGCAGACGGGACCCCAGACACTGGCACACACAGGCACTCCCGCATATAAACAGCAGTTTCCAGATCTGCTGGGACCCAACCCTCCAAGAGGTACTTTGGGAGTAGGGGCCTGGGCGCCCTCTACCCCCTCCTCAGAGCTGGTTGCAGGGAGGAGACCCCAGACCCTCACTGTAGCAGACCCCCTGTTCCGTGACTTCTTGCAGCCTGCGCTGGGGGAGGGGCATGGGGCTGCAGCTCATCCTCTCCACCAGTAGGACCTGCCCCTCTTACAGGCTCCCCCAGCTGCCCCTCACCACACCCCAGCAAGCCTGGTAGGCAACGCTTTGCCAGGACCAGACACCTAGTTGGTGGTGAGACAAGCCAAGAAGGAGAGTTCCTGGAGTGGTCAGTGAGAGCTGCTGGACCATCATCCAAACCTTCCTGCACCTTGGTGCTGGGTCAGGGCTCTGCCCCCAAGCACAGCCAGCAGCTCCCTGTAAAGTGGACCCCACCAAGCTCTGCTCCTCCCCAAATAGCTCTGGCTAAATAAGGCTGTGTGGGTGCCCCCCCCACCCGACCCCAGCACCGGGAGATGGATTTGGATGGGGGTTAAGAGGGGCTCTCTCACTCGCTGGCTGGGAGTCCCCTCCCCAGCCTCAGTGTCCCCATCTTGGAATGGGGAGCATGTGCTGCTTACCATCCAGGGTGGAGGGCCGAGGAAAGGGGGTGTCTGTGTAGAAGTGGCCCCTTTAAAATGTCAGTCAACCTGAGCCGCGGTTGTCCTTGTGACTGTCAGTATTCTGGAGCTTTCCCTGGTGGTCTCACCCCACAGCAGTTGGAGGGGGGGATGGGCTCAGTCCAGACCAGGGCACTGGGCGGCCCAGCTGTGACGCTTGGGGGAGTTACTAAATTTCTCTGAGTGTAAAGATCTTCCTCTGTAAATCTAGGCCATCAAGAGAGGAAGGGCCAGGGCTGGCCGAGTGGCTCAGTTGGTTAAGAGCTCACTCAAGTGTGTGAGCTCTGAGCAACAGCGGTTCGATTCCCAGCCCGAGCTGAGCTGCTGCTGAGCTGCCAACAGGTGGCAGGATGGCTCAGCTAAAAAAAAAGAGGAAGGGCCAGGCTGGCCCAGAGGTTTAAGGGTGACCATGGCCCATGGTGGTGAGCGCCCCCTCTCAGCAGGTACATGCATGAGCTCATTAGTCCCTATTCACCCTTTGAGGTGGGTAGGACCAGTGGCCTCTGTACAGAGTTGAATACCACCACCCAAGGTCACACAAGGGGTCCATCTCTTACTGGCCACACTTCTGGCCCAGCCCTGAGGTCAAGGTCCCTGAGGCCAGCAAATACACCAACCCTTGGGGCCTTGACCTTGGGTGGACAGGAGCCTAGTGTCCTCTGGGTTGGGCTCAACCCTGGCCAAGGCAATTCAAGGTGAATGAGGCAGGTCCCCATGTGGCTGTCCACGGAGCATCTGGCCCTGTGGGCTCTGTCCCAAGGAGTGGGAGTCCAGGCTCCAAGATGGCGGAGAATCCTCCAAGACACTGGGAAAAGCTGGCTGAGGGTTGGCATAGAGGACAAGCCCCTACTCTGAGTTTCCCCCAGATCCCCCAGAGGGAATGGCCTGAGGCTCTGGTTTCTCCATTGTTGAAACAGCTGGCACTTGGGTTGCAAGATGTCCAGTACAACAAGGAGGCTGTTGGGTAAATGCCCCATTCACACCAATCCTAGCCAGTTAGCAAAACCAGACCCTGCAACCCCTCAGATAGGCGAGAGCTCGCCCACCGACGTAGTGATCCATTCAGTTACCTATCCGCCGGTCTTACTGAGCACCTGATAAGCGTCAGGCTTTGTGCTGTGCTATACCGGGCAATGGGTAACTCACATGCCAGCTCGATATGCTGACTGGGAGGAAGGAAGCAAGACAGGTGACAGCGAGCGCCAGGCACGGGGCTGGGGTGGCCATGGGGCGTGGCGCTCAGCTATTCCTTCAGCAGAGAGCCTGCTATGTGGGGTGCAGTGAGCTGACAGCCCCTGCGGCAGTGCCTTTGGGGCTTGCTGATGAGTTGGAGCTGAGGCGAGGGACGCATCTTCCCAACAGGCAGAGCTTCCAGCTCCTGGACATGCACTTTGTGTGGGCGGGAAAGTGGCCTGAGCGAGAATAGCTACAGATTCAAGGGCAGCGGCCAAACTCCTAGGGCTGGTCAGGAGCCTGGAAGGAAAAGAGCTGGAGGTGGAGACAAGGGGCTTTGGGCTGGGGCCACAGGGAGGGACATGTGACTGTGGCAACAGTGGGGAGGACCCTGTGTCTGTCACACACAAATATTCTCCAGGAAGCCTCCGCCAGATGGAGGTGGCTCAGCAGACACCTGTCCCAGGCCACCCCAGAACTGGCATGACAGCACAGAGGGAGTGGTCACGCCGGAGGCCATCCTGGACCAGGAGCGTGGTCTCCCACCTGCCGAGGTCAATCTGGTGACTGCCACCTCTGAATGTCTGCCCCACCGGCAACACTAGGCCACGCTGAGCCCCCTAAACGGCACATTTTTGGAGGAGAACAAATCGCCACCTGGTGGCGAGTTGACCACATTGGGCCCTTGGGTACGCCGTCACACACCTGCAGAAAGGTGGGCTTGCTTCCTCTGCCCGCAGAGGCTGCACCACCATCCAGGGGCTTATGGAGGCCTGATCCATGGGCAGGGAACCCTACACAGCCCAACACCCAGTATGGGGCCCACTGTCCAGAGAAGGCCCCACTGGCCGTGTCGCCCGCCAGCCACACCATCCTGGAGCTGCTCACTTCACAGGACAGCAGGACAGCCTTTCAGAGGCACAGCAGCATGGGGCCATGCTGGAGCACAGGTGCCACCTTGCAGGTACTGAACCCGGGCATGCCACCACCTCTCCAACGAGAAGAGCACAAGCGTCCCCGACCCAGGTGGAGGCTGGCGTGGCCCTACTGGGAATTTGCGCTCTGCCCCTCTGGGCTTTTCAGGGTTAGAGGCCCCTCCCCATGGGCCACACTCTCACCAGGGCACGCGGGAAGGGTCCCTGTGAACTGAGCTATGGCTGCTCCTGGGCATTTTGAGCCCCTCAGGTCCAGAGAGCAGTGGACAGGAGTTGTCACAGTTTTGTCACGGCTGATTGGCCTCATCAGCAGAAGGAGGCGGGGCTGCTGGCACTCAAAGCCACGGGGGGACATGT